CACCAGTCACTCATGCAAAGGTTTATGCTGCAGGGGGAGTTATTAAAGAGTAGCAGTTGCTAATAGTGTTGTTCCAGGTGTGGTCTTCACACCTGTCCTGTCTAACGTTTTCACTAGCGACCCCAGCGCAAGAAGTAGTTGTGACTTATGAAATGTGTAGACAACACAACGCTGGGGGATTGCCAATTTGGAGGAAGAGTGGATTATTATAAAGGAAGCATTAGGCTAGGGGTGCTCAATCTCCAGGCAGTGGGCCAGATCCACTCAGGGGCTCTCCAGGGGCCTAAAAATATGGTGGTGTAGCAGAAATTGCTGCTTCCTTGCTGCCAAATTTCTGGACTTGTGAGGAGCCCCCATGGGCAAAATAGCACACTGAATTAGCACATGGAGACGGAGCACACAGGGACCACCTGGGGGCAGTGAGGCCCAATCCTGCAGTGTGAGGCTGAGCGGAGGCAGCATGGGGCCCCGATCTAGCAGCACAGATTCTTGGGAGGTGCATGGGGCCTCATCCTATAGCGGAGGGCTAAGGAAAGCAACATGGGCTCCCTTTCTTGTGGTGTGGAGCTGAGCAGAGGTGGTTCAGGGCCCTATCCAGTCCATGGACAGGACCCCTCATCACTCATCTGACCCGCCACACTAAACAGCTGAGCACCATTGAATTAGATCAGCTTGTGGAGTGGAGCATTAGAGATGGTATGACATGAATAGTGCAAGAGTGTGCATCAAGGGACTAGTACCAAGAACTTTTGCTATAAGATGGCGTGAATGGAGGAGGCGCGGCATACGGGTTTGCACTGGATGCCTATGTACCTCCGGTGTGGTGTGACCAAGGAAAAGATTAATGTGATTCTAGACTGTATTACGCAGGATATTTTTAGCAGAGGCAGGGAAGTATTAGTACCATGGTATAAAGTATTGGTAATAGCCCATTTGAAATATTGTGTGCAGGCACCTAGGTTGAAAAAAATACTAATTTAAACTTGCAAAGATATAGAGAAGGACGATGAGCACATTAGGAGAATGGAGAAGCTATCCTGTGAGAGAAAATTAAGGCAGCTTGGCTTGTTTAGCGTAGCAAAATGAAGGTTGAGAAGGGGACAGGATTAGTCTGCACAAATACATTTGCAGAGCACATAGTAGAGGAGAATGATGGAAGTTAAAGAACTGTATTGGAACAAAATCAAATAGATACAAACACATTTAGATGAGGAATTTGGAGGCTTACAGCCACCAGAGGACTGAAGTTTTGGGATGATCTGAAAAAAAAAGTAGGTGTAGGACTGCTGCATTGTAGAACTTGATCCAGTTGTGGAAGATGGGGGATAAGGGTGTTGGTGTGATAATCTGAGCTTATCAGATATGGATTAGAGTATTTGTAATTCTCATGAAGGGCTTGGAGGGAACTTAATTTCTACTGGAGAGCCCTGGAGATCACAGACTTCAAGGCTTTTTCTGGTTGCCTGTCAGGGTGCTGTAAGAAGTTTCTTTCCCCCCATGCATGTATTACTGGGGTGGTGGGAGGTGTTCTCTCATCTCACTAAAGTGTTGGGGTGCTTGGATGCTCCTAAAGATCTTTAGCCACCTCTCTGACGCCTGTCTTGTGGGTTCAGCTCCTGTGCACAGGTCAAACCAATCGCCAGATCTGAGATTCAAGAAGCCATGTTTCCATGTCAAATTGTCAGGTACTGCTTCATTGGATAGGATGTGGGCCTCATTTAGGATTATTTGAGCATCTTTCAAGCTTCAGTAGCAAGGCACTTTACCTTTCAATTCATTTGTGGCTTGTGCAAGGCTTTGTGGTTGTTATGTGAGAAGGACCAGACTAAATGCTCTTGTTCGGAGGTTTCCAACCACTGAGCTGTGGCCCGGTATCAGGCTGTGAATGGCTGGCTGCCAGGTCATGGCATGAGCTTTAACCACTGCTAGCAACAATTCAATGCCCAGGCCAGACCCACGTCATGCTAATTGGTTGGGTGAAAATGTCCTCACTAGGCCAATGACGGTGACTTTAGCTTCTGAAATTGGACTGCAGTAACTGTGGCTAGTCACTTCCATATCGCCAAGACTGCCATAGCTATTAATGTCTGCCTTGTCTTGTCTCCTCGGCAGCTAGCTAGCTAACGTTAGCCAGCTAGTGATGTGTACATATGATTTTTTAGCTATTATCTTCTCCTTTATTGATGATGTTCCTCACAACCCCCATGTAAAAATTAAATTTAAATATGCAAATTGGATTGTTTCTATACCCAGTCTGCCAAAATTCTTTGAGCGAGTTTGCCGGTCCACAGTATAAAAAAGGTTGGGAACCACTGCTCTTGTTGACCCTTTAAGACAAATGGTTGCTTGAGAACACGGGGGCTGGATTCTCTGGCCTAGGAGCCTCCTTCTGTGTCTCCAAAAAAGGATTCACGTGTCATTGTACCCCAGGGCGGGCAATTATTTTGGGCCGAGGGCCGCTTACTGAGTTTTGGCAAGCCATTGAGGGCCGCATAACAGGCAGCCAGGAGCAGATAAATATTAATTTTCTAAATTTTTTTAGGGGCCCCACAGGCCAGGTAGAATGGTTTGGCAGGTGGCATCTGGCCCGTGGGCTGCATTTTGCCCACCCCTGTTGTACACTGTGCTTCTTAGCGGAGGGGTGCAGCTGCACTCGAAAGAGGAAATGAAGGAAGCTTTCCTTGAGGGCCATTTGGCAGAAGCAGGACAGTCTTTGCACTGCTACTGGGGCATGTGTTGCATTCAGTGGTCACTATGAAAAAGTGTGTTGTGGTCAAATCCATGCATCTGGTGCTCCTTTAACAACCAGATGTAGTCGAGTTCCAGTTCTCACGCGGTACCACTTTGCAACACCCATCAGAGACAGCATTAAGACTTTCACCTCCCAAAGCCTTTTGCTTGTTGAGTTAAATGAGTGAGTTACTTACCTGGTAACAGTAGTAGGCTCTTATTTTCTGTTGCTCAGCCATTGGCAGTGGATACACCCGGTTAGCCAGTTATGTGCATTAACCCCTTTAAAAACTGCTACACAATAACCAACCAAGATCTGGTCTTGCATATTTCTGCCCCATCCTTTCCTTGGATGGAAAAATACAGACAGTATTTCTCTCTTACAAAGTCCATCCCTTACAGTTCAGATCACCATGGTGGTGGTGTGTGCAGTGGGAATGTATGGATATACATAGTCCATTCACAGGCACATTTCAGTCCTTACTTAGAACAGTAATACACCTCTCAAGCAATGCAAGTCATGCTGCACAAGCCAGGAAAGTAGTGATAGGTGTGGAAATGTGGGTCTCCTGTCACCTACACATGCTGATGGAGTCCACAAATAATACATTCAAAGTGCCATAATTCTCATTATTCTACGATTGAGGTAAAGAGTATCCTCATTTTACAGACGGGGAGAATCAAATAGTTTAAGGTCATTTACATAAGACTGAATTTTGTACGGGGATTATGTGTTGCAAATAAATGGCCCGTGATATGCAAGTGATCAGGCTAGATGCCGTAACTGTCTTTTTGCCGCAAGCTCTATGGCTCAGGTGTACTGTGATTGCAGCCTCAACAGGTACATTTTAATTACCAGGATTCAATGTATAAATGAAGTCACTTCACATTAATAAGGCATATAATTGCGCAGACATGTCTGGGTATAGAAAATGCACATGCATTTTGTTGAAAATCCTGGTCTACATCGAGTAACAAAAACCTCCAGAGAAAGTGCAGCCCAGGACAGAACTCAAAGAGCGCCTGGCTCTGAGTCTAGTATTTAGACGGATGAATCACATCTTCAGAGCTATCCTCAAAATCCCCTCAAAAGAAACAAAAATGTTTTTGCTTAGTACATTTTTTTGGTTTGCGGGGAAATTCTACAGATTTGCAACGTGCATTTCTGTTTCTGGTCTCCACAGAAATGGACCTTTACTTTCTTCCCCAAGAGGAAAAGTGAAACAACTACTTAATCAAAGAAAAAAACTGAATTTTGCTCACCAAAATGAAATGAAAAATTCCAATTTTTTTAGAGGACCAAAAAAGGAAGATTTTCTGTGAAAACGTTTGTTTTGATCAAAAGCCCTTTCTTCCTTGAAAAAAACAAAGACAAAATGAAGTTCTCTTAGTAACATCCGCCCCCAGACCTCTTTCTAAAACATAAGTGAATAACAGAGAGGACACGTTTTATTGAAAAAATATTAAACACAAGAGGTTTGTTCCAATACCAGAGAAACCATTCATTTTATTTAAACAGCAGTTTAAAAACAGAACAAAACAAAATCTAGATACTTTCCTATGGATTTTATGTTTGACTAAAAACCCACTGATGGCTTTTCAAAAGCTAAGGAAGCCTCAAGTCTGTAGCAGCTCTCTGGAAATCCTCTACTCAACTTGAATTGTGCTGACTTAACAGGAAGACACTTTGAAGCTGCTGCAGCTTGTGGAGGAGCGAGGCTCTTATGAGATGCCAGTATTATTTCAAGAGAAACAAAATATGCTGCTATTTCCAACCAGAGCAGAGTTGGAAGATAATTAAAGCTCAGTTGCTTCCTAAAAAACAAAGCAATGGTTAACCTTTGAGTTCAGCTTGGATTCCAGCAAATGGTTGCATAAATATAAGAGCAGGCGCCTGCTGGGTCCTAATGCAAGGATTGACAAAGCCAAGCATGGCCTCTTCAACGCTGTGATAATGTGGCAACTACATGTCCCAGCATGCTGTGCCTGGGGTGACCCCATAAGACTTTGGCAGGCAGAACTTTGCATGCTGGGATGTGTAGTACTGTGGCAAGCATCAACCTACGGGAGGTCGGATGCAATGTGGTCCGTTTTATGCAAGTCAGGTGTAGCCCTGGCAAATTGTCAGTGTTGCCCTGGGTTGGGCAAAGTCTGGCTGCCCCTGTCCTCATGCATGAAGTGTACTTGTAGTAAGGCCAACTAAATTGGTTATAAAATAAATATTTAAAATGACAACGTTTGGAACATCTTCCTTTACCCTTTTTTCCCCCCTCTACTATTGACACAAAGGAAGATCACTTGGCTAACATGCACCAAAGTATATACCTAAGGTATACTCTGTCAGCCAGTGGGACTGTTGCCTTAATCCAAGCCATTTTAATAATGCAGTTAATAATCTGTCTTGGAAATGCCTAACACAAAATGTGGAGGATGTTTCTTTATGAGATAACCAAGAAACAGAATGTACTTCATACTTTAAGAAATTAGACTATATCAAATGTGTAATAAAAATATTTTCTATAGGATTTAAAAATATATACATATATAAACTACCTTAATTTTAATGCCCTGTTGATATTGACGCAATCTCTACAGTATCTAAGCAAAGCTGAGGTTGCCCAGCAACCTCCATCATACCTCAAAACAGTGATTACAAAAGGGGAGGCCTTGTCTACACTGCACTTGGAAGCCTGCTTGCAAACTGGATCTGAAATACCTTTCCACAGGCCTGCTCCAACTCCCGTGGGAAGTCCACGCAAAAGCTTCTATCAACAGCGAGACCAGGCCTAGAGCCTAGCCATCGCTCCAGATCATCCGAATTCAAACTCTGTGTGGCTGGGCAGAGTAAACAGATCCCAAATGTGTTAATGATCTTCTCCAGGATATTTCCCAGTAAGGTGTGAAGCTGCCTTAAGACAGTTTGACTTTTGTCTACAGTGCCCAGTCAAACTTAGTTTGGATCCTCCTTATCTAGAACTGTTCCTAAAAGGAGCTCAATTTTTTTTTTCATACATGGTTTGAAGCCCAGTGTAGACAAGGTGTATGGGCCCAGTCCTGTTCTAATGCAGGCAAGACTCCAACAGGAGCACATGATAAATGTGGGATAAGGCCTCTGGTCACCAATATCATTAGCATTCACACTGCAGTTTGCATTATACTTTAAGGTAGGTAGCATGAGAGTTCTCTTGCTTTAAAGAGTTAATGTGCGGGATTTGGCCTGCGGAGGAGAGTTTCTCACTGAGCTTTCGGTTCATCTGCTCCATGTGCCTGTTGTTCTTCCTGGCTTGCCGGAGGGACCTCTTGACTTTCTTCACCCTATCTCGCAGCTGCTTGTTGCGTTTCTCCAGGGTTGCCACCTTCTGCTGCAGTTTCTTCACCTTGTCCTCTTCCTCAAAGAGGGCTTTCTGAACCGAGGAGCACATGAGCTGAAGGAATAGAAGAAACGAAAGAAAAACACACGAGCTTCAAGCCAAAGCCATTTTGAAGTGATAGCGCCCCAGACATTCAACTGATGGAGCACCTCACAACCCTACAATAGTGTGTCAGTAACTTTCAGAAATGTATCATCTTCTTGCACTTTTTCAGCTAAAATCCTCTACCTTTCCACCTTCTGTAATAGGAAAGCAAACTATTTAAATCTTAATAATATTAGTGTAATCTGGGTGGCGGCCCAATAGTTGCCACCCCTGCCCAATGTCAGGGATGGTGTAGTGAGAATGGGGCAGGGCTTCCCCAGCACCAATTTACTTTCCAGCCGGCCCCAGCTCCCCACAGAGCAGCCCCTGGTCCCAAGAAGGTCTAACACTTAACTGATTTAACTATTTACACTTTATTTACCAAACAAGAATAATAGGAAAGGTTACTTACAAGTGAACTTAAACGGCATAACCAGAACCACAAAACAAACCAGAATGCATTAGTCAACTGTTGACTCCAGAACCGCAGGTCGGGGAACTGGCAGCTTTCAGCCACTGCTAAGGTGCTACCACAAGGAAGCAAGGTGCTCACTCCCTGCATCTCCAACAGGCCTCCCAATAAGCAACAGACTACAGCAGGTTAAGCTCTTCTGGTCTGCAGCAATCAAACTGTATCAAACCCCAACCCCCAAAGAGGCTGAAGGGTGACCCTCTGTGGCAACCTAAAAGGCAAGCAACAAGCAACAGAGTAGGCTCCTGCAGCAATCAGCATGACCCAAGCACAAAGCTCAGGGACTCCATCCAATGACAATCAGCTGCAAAATAAGGGACAGGACTGAGTCCCCTCTGGGGCAGTCAGTGGCAGAGGGTCAGCAGCACAGGCAGCTCCCAGGGGTGGCTGCTCTAAACCCTGCTCCAGATGACCGACCAGGCACCCCCACATGCCTCACCAGTCCTGCTCCGAGCGCCAGCCTGCACCCCGAGCTCCCGGGGACCCTCGTCCTGGTGCTCTGCTGCTCCTCAGGATCCCAGTGCCTTGCCTGCTGCTGTCCCGCGTCCCCAGGGAAAGTGAGGGTTTTCCTCAACTCACTGGTCCAGCTCCCTGCTCCAGATAAGGATGCCGCCTGCCCTCTGGGCTGCTGCCTGCCAACTGCTGACCCTAGCCTCCGGGACGCCCAGCACACTGCAATGGGGCCTTGGGACACCAGCTCTGCCCCAAGCCCTGGCGGCTCCCTCTCTGCTGCAGGGCTGGAGGCACAGCCAACTGCCGCTGCCTTCTCCTCCCAGGGCCTTCGAGGCTCTTCAGAGGGGTCTCTCTGCTCCCTCCCCTGGGTCAGCTCTCCCCAGGCCTCCTGCGCTGTTCCCCAGAGTCACTGTCAGCAGCCCCCATGCCAGTTTGGCTGCTACTTTTATCCCCTCCGGCTGTCCCTCCCTGGCTTGCAAACCAGCCGACCAGGGCTCAGGGTGGCTGGCCCCCAACTCCAGCCATCCCCCTTCCATGTGAATGAGGGGATTGAAAACCCCTTCTTTCGACTGGCTTCTCCTTTTCCACGGGGCAGGGCTCCCCTGCTCCACCCTTGGGGTCGCTCTGAGTTCACTGGTACTGTTTCTAGCCCAGGGTGAGTATCTCAAGTCAATCTGGTGAGCCCACATTGGCAGTCTGTTACATCAACTATCAAAATTACATTAATGAGGCTTATCTAGGTCATATGGGCTGTTTGGTTGGTCTCCAGGTAGAAACCTGGCCCATTTCTGCTGCATGATTTGGCTCTGGGATTTGAATTCAGCTGATTGGGATTTGCCATTAGGAAAAAAAAAATCTATATTCAAACCCAGGGTTTGATTCTAAACTGTATAAATCCAAGGTTTTGGCTCCGTTCTGCCTTTTTATTCTTTGTTCTAAAAGCAGAAACAAGCTGACCTTCAAGACATCTATGCTGTGTGGCTCAAATCTCCCCTTCCGAGGTAGAGAAGTTGGTTATTGTTTTAATACAGGGTACTTTATGTGGTTCTGTTACATGAAACCTTAAAAAGGCAAGCTCTTATCATCATTGTAGGGACAGTCAGGACTCGGTGACCTTTTCTTTACAAGGTTTTGCCATGGGTCCTTGGGCAAAATCTCCTCCTGCCCTAATCCCACCCAGTATTGACTGAAGTGTATTGTACCAGCTGCCTGCTGCCTTCTGCCCCACGTGCAGTGTCTTAGTGCTGCCCTTGCTCTGGCAGTCCTTATGCAAAAATCCACTCGTTTCAGCAGCAGTTCTGGCTGAGTCGCAGCGACGAGACAAGAACGGGCCCACAGTTTGTGGAGAAGTTTGAAATCCCCGAGGATGGGAGAGGCTGAAGGGAAACTGAAAAGCTATGGGATGATCTAAGATGGCATCAAATAGCTTGCCTGTAAAAATGCCAAGTGCCTCTCTCATAACCCAAGACATTTCACCTCTCCAGTACCCTGCTGTAATGATTCAAATGCAAAGTTTTCTCTGATGTATATGATCATGTGATTTTTTTTCTCCCCCCCCCCTTGTTTCAGCCTTTATTTTAGGTTTTTCCCTGTTATAGTCATAACAGAACTATAAAAATCAATTTAAAAAAGGATGAATAATGTTAACCCAGAGTTTAGAGAGATGAAGGGTTTAAATTCTTGGTGTTTAATTTAATGCTAGTAAAGTACAATAGTGAATGAGAAAAAGTCATTTCCAGAGTGGTTTTTTTTCCTGTCCTCTCTAGGAAAATCCTTCTCTTAACTGCTTAATAAAGTAGGAGGCAAGAATTTCTTAGGGCGATATCTTGTATTGGACTAACTGTATAGTTGGGACAGTTAGACAAGCTTTCAAATACACGATACTCTTCAGTGGGTCTCCAATGTAAGTGGAGGGTTTCAATACCTTCCATGTTACGGTAGGGTAAGAGTGATGTTGTAGCTGTGATAGGCTGGGAATTATGCAAAACATGATGAAAAATGTCTTGCATTCAAAAGCTAGTCTAACTCAGTCCCAACGATGCAGTCAGTGCAGTAAAAGACATCGCCCTAAAAAAACGCTTGCTTCTCAAATAATTTCTGGACTACCACGTATACAACATCAATTTTACACTACAAACTGAATAATGAAATTCAGTTCCACAGTTAAATGACTAGACATTTTGGTTAAGTTTTCCTGCTCAATTACTCTGATTTTTAAATGTACATCAAGGTCTCCCAGAGCTTTGGATGGGCTTCCTTTGGTGCTTCCTTTGGTGTGGAGTTTGCATAAGAATGACATTTAAATAAATAAGTACATCCTTGCTGAGATAATTAATGTTACAGGCTATTTTTCCTCATCTTGCTCTGTAATGTTTTTCAGGGAACCAAGCAGGGGGTACGGAAATCATGCTTTGATGGGTGATATTTCATTTGCTTTGGAAACCCACCAGCAATTGAATACCCCTGCAGCAACAGCCTCTAGTTGCAGCTGGCTACTTGGATTTAGTCAGCTTTGACGACACACTGTGAGGTTTTGCCGGGGATGGAGCTGTTTGCAGTGCTGATGCTTCCCATCAAAGTTGCTTAGCAAACACACACCAAAAGGACTGTAACCCCAAACCAAGGCCAAGAGTGTTTGGAAGAGGAAAATGTTTTCTGTTTTTCAAATAATGCATATTTCAAGTGAACTCTTCTAGCTCTTTGAAAACTCAGTAACTTTTGCCTTTCATTTTTCTCCAGTCCCATGCAACACCTCAACTGGAGCAATAATTAGATTATATCCTTACAGTTTTCCCTTGCATTTTCTTAAATTAGGGATTAATTAAGATGAGAGAAACAAGACCTTCACATGGAGGCAGATTAGATCACCGTGACCAACTGCAAGACCGACATGCATCTTCCTTTGAAGTTTCCCGTGGAAGCCACTACCAGAGACATGCTACTGGGGTAGATCTACCAGTATGGTGATGCCTACGAGGTGTGCCTTTATCCCAAGAAATGGCTATGAAAGAATCATGGCTTTGGGTGGAGTAGGCATCGAAGAAGGGTGCAACTGCTCTGCTGCACTCCCCTCCCTCGTCTAAACAATTCCAGGCTGTTTGACCAGCCTGGTCTTTTAAAACTTCAGGAACAACTCTCATGTACGACCACTAGATAGAAAGCCCAAACCATTGTCAAGAGTGAGATACTTGTGCAATGAAACCAGAAACTAGTGTGATCTTGGACAGCCAAAGCAAAGTGGAATTGGCCTCTGTACAGGTCTCCTTCAGCACCTTAGGCACGTAGGTATATATACAGCAAAGGACCTGCAGCTTTCAGGCTTTGGCCACCATGCCTTAATGTGCACGTGAGTTAGCAGCAGATTTTCCCCCTCGGTCTCTGGCAAGGGTGGGCTTCAGGAAGTTCTGCCAACCAGGAAACAGGTCAGACCACCCGGAGGTGCGCTGGGCATGGGGCTGACCACCCTACTTCTCTGTGAAAGAACAGAAAGTATTTGGGAGTGCGGCCGACTGAAACAGGGATTGGGAGGAAACAAGGATGGAAACAGGATCGTTGTTTTAGAAAGCACGGTCATAGGACCTGCCTAAGACTTGTGCCTAATGCAGCACCCAGCAAGTCTATTGTTAATTCACGGATTATATACATCAAAGTAGCAGTCTGAAATATTTTGTTATAATATATCTTTGTTGTTCAAACGTTCATTATGTCCTAAGGAATACATTTTGTTAATCAGCCATTAAAAAAATCAGCATTTTGCCCAATGATTGAAGGCGTGCGCATTCTTAGAGCGTGCATCCACAAAAGCTTAGTCTTTTCTCTAATCTGTATTTTATCCATAAACTGACTTCTGAATGATTGGGGCACTGCACTCTGTTCTCCTGCATCAAAATCACAAAGAAGCTTTGTAGTAACGACATAATGAACAGGGACTGCTCCTCTGAAAAAGGCAACTGGAATGTATATGCGCTTCAATGCTAGCCTTTATACATTATGAACTTCATATAAACGATCAAGCTCGGCTTTGTAGTAATCAAGTAGCTACGGG